CCCCAAAACCCCAAAACCCCAAAACCCCAAAACCCCTAGATTTGTTAATAATGTTGAAAGAATTTAGGTGATGTAATTACTTTATAATTTGGTTATATCATCTTTTTCAGGAGCTGAAGAGTTAAATTATCCCATTTCTTTACTCCCTTCATCAGAAGGATATGTAGAGAAGGTAGAGGATATTTCCTAACCTTGATTTGCAAAATTTCCCTCCTAAGCTCCTGTCTAGGGCAAGTTCTGTTACTTTTTGTTAATTTCAGAAATCGTAAGGATTCCTTCAGTTTCGATGATAGAGTGGCTGATAACACTACATCGACTAACTCGTACATGCTTGACTGCTGAGATTGTCATTGTGCTGCATGAGAACCTCTTAGATCTAAAGTTCTTATATTTTAAAAGTAATGGAATCTGTCAGAGTGAAGTTTTCGGGATGAATGGATCAATCAGAAATGGCAATCAAATCTCACTGCCTTCCTAACTCGATAACTTTCTGGAGGTTTCTCCCATTGAGGAAGAAATAAGTCAGTTTGATCTCATTCCTGACTGTAGGTAGCATGTGAAATAAATTTCTTGTAATACTACTAAACTTTAATAGCTTCATCATGTCGTAACAGGCCCTGGAAATTTATTGATTGAACATTGACACAGGTTAATAGCCCTCTTAAAATCTTTAACTTGCGTTTAGAAGTGCAGGAGGATATTAAGAGTGAGAGATATTTTGTTCTATTGGAGATATTTTCTCCAACCTCTTTCACAAAATTTGGTCGAGGTTCTTTGTCAAATCTAAATGGATCAAAATTCCTCCATAAGGAGCCTTATTTTCTTCACAATTGTATTTATTGAGAGTGCTTTGGAGAATATTTGAGTTGATTTCAGATAGTTTTTGTAAAGCAGAAAGTTCATTCTTTTTGACCTTGTCTCTAATTTTCTGAGTAGAAACATTCATCAGTATTAATTATTATTTTCAACTAGACTCTCTATCAGAGGGGTTTTGGGGTTTTGGGGTTTTGGGG